TGAAATGGCCTAAACAACGCAAGGACCCTATGAAAACACTATCGACATCGAAGATGAATGCAATTATGAGAAAATTTTTCAACAAAGTGAGTGAATGCGCCTTAAACAGGAATGGCCATTAATAATTGTATGATGGTTACAAAGGAAACAGGATGAAATATAATATTGGACAAATTGGTTTATAAGATGGTGGTGTATAAAGGAGGTCTATTCTCTGTTAAAGATCAGCGCTACTTTCCCAAATTTCCAAAATATCGACATATGAAATTATTCAGCTTGTTGACGTGTTTAGTTGCTAAATTGTCATCAGCATGTTTACTGAAATATTTTTTTCAGAAGCAACAATACAGGATTTTGTGAACTGTGGATTTCATGGATCTGGAAGTGAGTTGTCAATTCGGAAAGTGATCGGAGTTGATAGCATTCTAGTCAAACATACTTCGATTCATTCATTTTTGCTCAAATTGCCGTATCCATCTGCCTATCTGTCAAAAATAAACATATCATGAAAAAGTTCGTGCGATTTTCGCTAATGACCACACTTTGGCCAAGTGACTCGCTGCCAAAAAGGACATAACTGAGGGTCAACCCCATAATATCTCGAAACGACTTTGTTTTCATTCCCCTTTTCACAAAAAAAATATAGTTGGTAGTTTTGGATATGGAAAATGAATCAGAAATAACATCGTAATAGCATCGTGAATAGCATTAATCAAAATGATCAAAAGGCCAATGCAACCTTGTAAGACTGTAAATATTCTATATGAATTCGGATGTGCCGCAACTCCTTTTTTAGAAGAGGTAACCTAAAAAAATATTAAAAAACTAGTCAAGGAACTGAATAATCAGCACTGCCCCCGCTATTATTGGTGCAATAAATCCCCACTAGGTGAACGATTATATCAAGGCGAAGGAACCTATTTATCACAGCAATAACTGCATTATCGTCATCATTCCTATACACGATAAATATAAACGTGTATATATTATTGGCATCTATTTCTTTTTGTTCTCCGCTGGTGAAACGATATTTATATCGTTTCTGTTTGGTTTTCCTTTCAGCTGCGAATTACACACTCATACATAAATAAAGAGATAGCACCACTATTCACCTCGTTGACAAGAGAATTCGCTAGCGAAGAGACAAACCGAGTGCTCGAAATTTTTATTTCTCTTGATATTTTTCATGAAATTTTATTTAAAAAGTTAAATGTATGAGTAGAATGGCTTTACGTTGCTTTCCTAGTAAAATAATGACAATAATAATTTGCATGATTTGACTGCAATTTAATAACTAATTCAACTATTTGATGCTTATTCAAGCAACATTCCTATTCATTCTTTCTACAGCACATTCTAATATTTCTCATACATTTTCTCATAAAACTTCTAACTGATAAAGATTCGGAAAGGAACAAAATTTTCTCGGAATCAAGGTTGTCGGCTTCATTTCAAAAATTATATTATTCTGCATTTATTTCTCAACGCCTTTAACGCCTATTTTCAGTAATCCGTAGTTACAAATATTTCTCGACAGGAATGTCATGAGAATTTTTCTTGTAATTTTACAATTTTTTCGACTCTCATAAAATTTCTCTTGTTTCTTTAGATATTTCTATAACTATAACTTGACTATAACTTACTTTTATAAATATTTTTATAATATTATTATATTATTTTCATCCTTATTGCTGTCATTATTATTATTATTATTATTGTCATTTAGTTATCAGTTACCAGAATTTATTATTATTATCATTTTTATTGTTATCATAGCATTATTATTATCGATATCATTATTATTAATTGTTGTAATATTTATTTTTTTACCTATCGTTCGCACTGATGACATTGATTGATCACATCAGGCCAAAAAAATTTTAGCATTATTCGTCATTGTCTTTACTTGTACCTATCGCCTAATCGTAAATTCTTAAATCATTTGAAATCTGAAAATAAAATTTTATTTATTTTATCGATTTCTCGTCGTTTTTCGATATTTTCGTGATTAGTTAATAATCAACGAAATTTTTCAATTTTCATTTTTTAATTTTATTAAAAGTAAATTTTTTGGAAAAAATGTTTATATATTGTTTTTAGATTGGAGACTCTTCTAAATTGAAAAAGATTTTTCAAATTAAATTCAAAATAATCTAAAATCTAAGCGATAGAATTCTTTTCATTTATATTTGAAACAAATATTATTTCTTTCTTATTTTGGGAAATTTGGAAATTTCCACCAAATAAATTTCATTTGTCTCAGCTTACCGTAGTTTTAGGCTTCATTGTTTTCTCCTTGTAATTTTTTAGTCGAACCGACGTTATTGGTTCGAGCTCACCATTCCGTTTAGCTAACTCTACTCTAATTAATTAGAAATTTTCACTTAAAGGCAAAACTACGCCCGTTTTTCAACGGCAATTTTATTCCTGTCAGAGACAAGGAATCAAACCAGTGATGTTCGATATTAAAGCAGTTATTGCCTTCATACTAGCATTTTTAAAAGGTTCTTCTTCATAAATAAATTTAAACGTTGGCACCGAACACTGAGAATGAATTGGTGATATCGACTTTATGGTTCGAGCAATATCGACTGAGTCGTCATTTTTAAATGCTGCGAAGCAGTTCAAAATCCTTGAAATTCTCGAAAACATTAAAGCTGAATCGGGGAAGATTCATTTTCGCTGAAGATCGTGAAAATAAATTTAATTTAATTTTTGGGCCATTTTAATTATTTGCATTTTAGTTAAACATTTTGCTATGAAAAATCATATTTTGCTTTATAAGAGCGACTAATTTCGACACAAATTTCAACACAAGAAGACAAAATAAATTTTTTCGAGCACTTTTTCAGAAATTTTTCTACGAATAAATCGATGTCGAAACGATCATTTTGGTGTTGTTTTGCAAATAATGTTCGATTCTTCATTTTAATACTTTTTCTTGCTTCATCAAGCTGCCTTTTTGCGAATCTTCTGCTCTTTAATATTACTGTACTCTATGAAAAGGTTAGCCCTCTTTCCTTTTTTTTTCTTAAAATGATGTTAGTGCTAAGTATAAGTATAATGGTTCACCATTTGTAATTAGGCGTCTTCCACTGGCTACTAGAAATTTTTTCCAGCGAGTCAGGTGGCGATGTAAATAGGTGGCTGGTTAGGTTGTTTTTTATGGATAATTTCGCTTTTCTCCAGTATCGCTTTAAGAAATAACAATGCCAATTTCATTCGCCCTGTATAAGTTTCATTCTCATAATACTATTTTCACCAATTCGCATCGAATTCATTTTCAGGACTACCAAGAACCTTTTTTTTATTCAGGTAAAAAATTATTTTTTTCAAGAAATTTTAAAACTAAAAACTTTAAAACAATTAAAGTTCAGATTAACATTATAAAGGTATTCCATTTTTCTACTGTATTTTGCTGATAAGATTCGATAACGACAAATATTATGCCTTTTGAGTTAGTTTTTGTAAATAGCCAAAGTCTTGCTTAAATTTTCAGCCAATTCAAGTTTTGATGACGATGTTACTCTCACAGTTAGAAATTCGAGTTTTTCTATTACCAACAATCATTCAAGTGGATCATTTCCACTGATCGACAATATCATATCAAAAAATGAAAATGATGTGAATAAATCGAAGCTCATAGCTGGCAAGTTTCAACTGAATTGCTATTGTGTTATTTGTTATGTGTTATTATGTGTTATTTTACTTAAATTAATGTGTTATTTTACTTAAATTATTTTCATAACTGTTTATTATATTTAGTCTTTAGTATCAGATTTAAAGGCTTAGAGACGGCTTACAATAGTTACCAGCACAGTCCGCCAAACCAGTAATGGTGCGAGCAAGAATCCTTATTTAATCATTTAGTTTAGGAGATGGCTCGAAGGATTTTGTTTCCTTTCATGGCGATGAATATACTATTATTGCTGCTTCTAATCATCATAAAAAGAATTATATGTATACACGGTTCTGTTACTTTTATAGTTACATTATTTGTTGTTATATTTCATGGTTTATTTAAAATTATCCATTCCAAAGCTTAGCCAACTTCCTTCTCCAATGTATATATTTTATATAAATATATATATTTTATATAAATATATTTTTTTAAAAATTGAATTTTTCTCTATTTAAGTAGGTTATTTTGATTTGCAAAAAACAATTTTTTTATTCTTTTTCATTTTCTATTATATTTTAATAGACATTAGGATTGAGTAAACAAAGTAAGTATTTAAAGCCCATCATTTCTGGTTACTTTACGGTCACATCGTGGACGGGAGCACAGGTTGAGGCTTGAGGCTAATGGTTAATCTGCCGAAGTATTCATCGATCAAATGATGAATCGTAATATTCGGTTCATGCTCGATTTTGCGCAGCAGTTTTTTGCATTAGTTTATTGCAAATAGCCGTGTCCTCTGACCGTTGGAGTCCGCAAATGAAGATTAAGCAATTGCTCGATCGTCGACATGTTGAGGTTAAATTATTCGAATTCTTGACCGCTGTTTCTTGACCGAGATGAAGACTTTTTCTTTCGTAGATTTAAACGCTGGTATCTCCTGCTGAGTAGTGATTTCTGCGGAATAAATAATGATTCATTGAAAAATATACCGCCAGCCCTTCGAGGTAGAATGAAATTCGAATATTTTTCATAAACTGAATCGTCTAACCTATAGAGCAGAAGGCCAATCTTTGCTGATTCTAGTTTTGTGGCATTTTTTGAAAACAAGTCGGAGTAGTGGCTGAATCATTATTGAATGCATGGCTTTCTTTTGGACAAAAATGAGTGTTGACATGCTTCCAGCGATCGCTTCAAAGGATGGCTCGGTCTGCCGTACCGATGTAGTTCTCGACTGTTGCAGTAGCTTTTTGCGAACATTTCTATTAACAGATTAACATCACTGGGCCCGAATCTCTAGCAACGCTCCGAAAAACTTTTGTGCAACGTCGCCACGTTTCGACATTTGTGTAGCAATCGTTTATCGGACGAATTAATAAAGATGGAAAAAAAGAACTCGGAATTTACCACCAATTTCGTGTTCGGTCAATTCTTTGTTCCCCAGTTCGTTATACCAATCGCCAGATTAATGCGATAGGTAATAAAAGTAGAACGGCGGCACAATAATAATATGATAAACAACTCAAAGTTTCCAGAATAATATAGCAACCCCAAATTATGCAAAAAGAATATTTACTCTCTCTCAGTATTATGAGAAATTTTTATCAAGAAGTCGCTTGGAAGTACTTGGGCATGGAAGTACTCGTCTTCGTCGTCTTTTAACTTAATTTTGTCATAGACAAGGTGGGAAAAAACTGGAGACGATGAAGTGAGCAGCAATAAGCACTCGGCTATTCAGAAACTTCTGAAACAACTTGTAAATTTATTTTTTGTAATCCTCTCGCATATATTTTTAAGATATTAATAATTGAAATAACTCTTCAATTTTTCAAGCGCTTGCAGTGTAACGGATTTGCAATTAAGAATCGAGAATATGTTATTGTGGGCAGCGAACGGTATTGGAATGATCGTCGGAACATTACCGCTTGCTTGCTTGTTGCAACTTATCGGTGGACGAAAATTTTTTAGTGTTATGTTGTTTCTCTCAGGGATCAGCACGTTCACTTTGATATTTGCTGTTTCTCTTTCTTCTCGTTATAGTTAGTGTTGCATCCTTTTAATCATTTTTGATAAAATTTAAATAGTTCTAGAAGCTGAATTTTGCATCGTTCTTCTTGCGATCTCAAGCTCATCTCGAGTTCATAGGTGAAACTTTTCATACAAAAGTTAATATAATTTGAAAAATTCGGTAAAAAATCGATGCAAATTCAAATCGAAAACTGACTGAACTCGATCTGATAATTTTATTAGTGTTAGACTGTCTTTTTCGCTTAGCTAATCGTAGATTCAACTTCCATTCCAAATCCGCTTTTTTATTACAGAAAAATATTTTATCATTGGAATTCGACTAATTCAAGGAATTACATGTGCCGGTATTTTTCCTCTAATTGGCACGTTGTCCGCAAATTGGAGCAGTCTTAAGGAACAATTTATTTTCTTAGTATGGGGCAATTTGTTTATTCAAGTAAGCTAAAAATTATTCTAACGTAAAAAAATTCAGATTTCATTAAGCTATTTCAGTGGTTCCTTACTATCAGATATCAGGTCGTGTAAGGGCACAAGGATGTATATAATCTGGGATCTGGAAAATCTGGAAAGTTTGCAACTTAGATTTCCAACCGAGATTTTTTTTTGATTTTTTTACATTTTTCTGTAAACTCAAAATTCAATTTTTGAAGAAAAAAGACTTTAAAATAATTTAACAGGCAGCTCCGCTTATTAGCTGGCCAGTTGTTTCAATAATGTTAATCCAGCATAGAAGACTTCCTTATTTTATATGTGGCGGATTAAATATCTTATATGCCTTTGTTTGGTTTGTTTTTTATCGAGATCGTCCTCAGTATCATCCTTGGGTGAATGGATTGGAGCTTAACAAAATAGTCGCTGGAAAAGTCAAAGTTCGTCTTTTGTTTTTCAAAAAATGCATACCATTTCTAATTCGACTATGGAGAGTCATTTGGAAATAGATAGAAGTGAATCCTCTCCTCATTAGGGTTTTGCCTTTAATGGCAAGTTTTTCTTCTTATCAAGAGACAGGAATCATGCTTCGCCTTAAATATAAAACTCGCAATCTATTCGAGCAGTGATGGAAGCTGATCTGCATCTCTGTCTTAAGCGACTGTTTGATAAAAATGAACCCAACCAAGCCAAAAGCGATGTTTGCTGTAGAAAAAAGAAAAGATTTATATTTATATTTCTGGCATTTTAGGTTATACGTAATCGCTTTTCTGCTAATCATCCATTTGCCAGTTTGGCGAAATCTACTTCAGTTTGGGCTATATGGGTCTCCTCATTTGGTTATTATTCTATTATCGCATTAGTTACTCAATTTCTTCCCATTTATTATCATTCCGTCATAAAGGAATCGATCTCAGATTCTATATTCTTGGCTTCATCATCTTTTATTTTTATGGTTATTATTATTTATATATGAATTTTTCCATGATAATTATGACCAATAATTAATCCAGGCAATTCTTGCTGTAAGTAAAAATTAAAAACTAAAATGGTAAGCTGATATCGATTAATAAAGTATATATTCTGATTTGGCTCGCTTTAACAGCTGCGAGTAAGCTGAGAAATTTTCAGTGATAGAAATGGCGATAGAAATGCACTTAGAGTCCAGATTTTTTTAAATGGCAGGGTTACTTCTATCAGAGGCTGAACCAATAATTTGAGCGAAAATCACTCGGCTATCCTTACTCCTGATTGGCTGGTAAATTTGAAGAAGTAATAAAGTAGTTCGTAAACTGAACTGTAATAGTTCGTAAACTAACTGTAAACTAAACTGAACTGTAAATCCTCGGGTTCCTCGGGTATTTTCAGTAGTGTTTTCTAGACAAAGTAAGCTAATTTAATAATTAAAAATATTATTGAAAATTAAAGTATTTTTTAGTTTTTCTTTACTATATTCCATTCACTGTGCCAACGTTTTTATTATTTATGTCACGACAAGACTTCCGTATTAGTAGCCAATTCAGTTTCCTTTCTCGTGTGCTCGATGATGTGCATTTTTCTCGCTTTATTTTTGCCTGCCAATAACGACAGCTTGAGGTTCATAAGTTTTATATACTTTCTTCTTTATTATCGATCTGTTCTCTTTATCACTCATTAGGCTCTTCAACTGTGTTTCCTAGTGTATTAAGTTACAATAGTAGGTATAAGTGACCAGCGTTCACCGCTTCTGCCACGTAGTTTCATTCCACTGGCTATAGGTACAAACAGAATTTTTGTTTTTGCGACCGTTGCGCAGATACCTCATTTTTAATGCGCAGATTTATTCGTGATGGAGGCAGAATCCAAATTTTGAAGAGGAAAATCTGAGCAATAACCTCGGCTATCCTAAAATAATATTTTATAAAATAATAGCTTTGTACAAAAGTAGTTGCATTTTTACACTTTAACTAGATAAAGTCAGAACTGCTTCGCTCGTTCTAATGTACTAATCCTAATTCCAATTTGGCTGTAAATCGCTTGGAAATGAATAACTAATTTAGAAATAATGGGCCTTAAATTGCAGTATTGCTTGTTGTTTTTCGGCACTTCTGTCATTTTTAACACTTTCAATTTATGGTTTTTATCGAAGTGCTATATTGGTTGGACGTTTTTACGGACAATACATTATTGCCAATATGCAAATATTTGTGGGATTTTCATATTGCTTTGTATCGATGGCTGCGATGTTTATTATACGAAATAAGTAAAATATAAAACTCATGAATTTCGAATAATAAAATTCTTGTGCAAAAATTTCGAATAAATAATAATTAAATCATAATTATTCCAATAAATTCTCATGTAAAAAGCTGAGATGGCGTAGTATCGCACCAACGTTTCGCGCTTGGTTGGTTCTGCTTACTGCTGGGACCAGGTAACTTCGCCTGAAGGTCAAGCTGAATAGAAGTATAGGTGTTCAGCTAGTATTTCTAGTATTTCTAGTATTACTAGTATTTCAGCCTTGATTTTAATCAAAACAATGTGCCAACCGACTATCCTATTTTCATTGATTTTAGATTTTCTTTATTTCTTTCTATTTTTTTGATAAAATTTCCACCTATAAGAACAATGAAAGAAATTTCCAGCGATAATTTTGAATGGCGACTTTTGTTTATTCTTATGGCATTAATCTTACTGTTAACGGCAGCTACGTTTGGAATTTTTGGAAGTGGAGATGTGGAAGAGTGGGCGAAAGATAGTTGGGATCCATCAGCGGCAAGACGAATGATCAATTTCGATCAGATTGATTATAATAATGATGAATGTGGCCTAATCGAAATGAGATTATTAAAGCGGTAACGTTTTGTAAGGTGAATTTTGTCTCAAAATTTTTCGATTTTGCTTTTAATGTTTAAACTGCGCTGATAACTATTTCTGGTTTGGCTGCATTGGCTATTAAGATAATACACTTTCGCTAAAGAATCAGTTGGAGATAGAAATGGATTCTCAACACCACCCGCAGTTGTTGGTTGGAATTCAAATAATTAATTTACGATTTTCGTGTAATATATCGAAATATATCGACTAATACAATTATGAATCTGTTGACAAAAATGATTCTAATAAAGATAATCAGTAATGGCTGAAAAAGTTTTTTCCTTTTCTCTGGAGCACAAGTTAACCAGAATAATTTCCAGGATAAAAGTCGGATTAATACATTTTCGGTGATCTTTATATCTATGATGTAATTCATAATATTGCAAGGGTATGGTTGTTAGCAGATTCTCATTTTTTATCGAGTAAATTTCGAAGAAGGCACTTCGGTCCAGCAAGTCGATCACTTATTTGCACTCACTCTTACTAAATAATTTATATTAATATTAGTATTAAATAATTTAAATAACCAACAGATTATGCTATTTTCATTATAAGCTATTTTTGTTTATATTAATATATAAACATATATTAATATATTTATATTAATATATTTATAATATTATAATATATATTTATAATATTATAATATTTATAATATATTAATATATTTATTTATATTAATATATTAATATATACTTAATTTATATAAATATATAAATATATATTAATATATTTCTCAACATATATCATTTTTTTTAGCAGATTACCATTACATTCGAGATTAATAAAGTTTCGTTCATATTTAAGAGCCAATAACCTTTACATTTTTTCATCTCTCTCACTTTTTTCCTCTATGTTCCATCCCATGTGTCTATTTTTTTGTCCTTACAGCCTTTTGTCTCTGTTTTATCTTCCAAAGCAAAGTCAGATATTGCGCAAAGCAGATCAATGAGATGTAATTTTTTATCTCTGTTTCTGAAATAAATCTGAAAATAAAGCTATAATTATCCACTATCCATTAACTGATAGGGAAAGAAACAAATTCTTTCAAACAAAAAATTCAGAGATTTAGAAATTGCCATTATTAAAATAGAAAATATTTCTTTATAAATAATAAAATATATATAAAATTTATTTTTATTAAAATTTACTAAAATTATAAATATAATAATTTCAGTTGTTATAATTTTTTTCTCATATTTTCAAAAATCGGAAAATGAATTTATTAAATATATAAAATAAATTTATTTAGGTGAACAATTTCTGAAGAAAAAATTCTATCAGAGAATAAAAAATCTTAATAATAAATTTCGTCATTAATTGCCACTTGTGCTTGTATTAATAACAAACAATGAAAATTAACGATAAAAAAAGAAAATATGACAAAAACTAATAAAGTAAAGAGGAAAGAGAAGTTACAAAGTTACAAAGAAAGAACATTTCCAAGTGAATGGATTATATATGCATAATCGAATGGTAAAAAATCAAAATTTCAACTTCCTGCATGATGAACTTTTTAAATATTATCATAAATGATCTAATCTTTATCTAATCCTTTTTTAGAAAAAGCTAAGGATGCGCACAAACTACATTTGGCAGTTTATTCCCGTAATTAATAGCACGAATAAAGAAGTTATGAGTTCTTAGCTTAATTTTCCATATTAGGTTTTGGTAAATTTGACCCATTAACCTAAAATTATAATATTTAAAATTGTAATTGTAATTTAACATAACCATATAGAATTTTATAAGTATAAATTTATTCTTATATAAATTAAATGTGAATTAAATATATTTAAATATAAATATAAATTTAAACTTTACAATTCGACAATTGAGAGGGAATCCAGGTTGTAGTATTCAAACTGTGTTTTATAATTAAAATTGCTATTAGGAGAGAGATGGTGTATAAAATATTTCTGAAGTCCTTTAATTATTTTACTTGATTTTGCAGTGTATCTGGGATAACAGGTAGTATTGTAGTCAAGAAGAGAACGCTTTGTATATTTTGATAAGAAAACTTTCAGTTCTGTTTTCAAATGAAAGAAAAATAAAGTTTAATATTTTTGATGATTCCTTTAATAGTTCTGCAGTGAAGAGTTTTATAAGGATATTTTATATTTTATTTTATATTATATTATTTTATTTTATATTATTTTATATTTTATTTATAAAGATATTTTTAATATTTATAACGATTTTATTGAGATTTTCATCCATGATTATGCCAAGATCGAAAATATGTGAGACTCATCTGATTATGTTTCATTAATAAAAAGATTGGGAAGATCGAATCCTTTCGAATTTGTATGTAAACCGCTACACTTTTGAAGAGCAAAGATAATTTGCCTGCCATTTAGCCAGTTGGTAATTATAGTGAGGTCATCCTGTAGTGGAAATTAACAGGTTATCCGATCTACCATGAGAATAATAAATTTTACAACCATCACCACAAAGATAAATAGTAAAGTTTAATATCATTTGTTGATATCATTAATATATATATAATAAAAAAACTGATGCGATACTACTACCAGCAGGTTTTATGTCAGAAAGAATGTTGTTGACACACAGCCTGGTGACGACCTTTTATGTAATCAGACGTACCGTTATAAAGGTCCCTTGTAATGCCTCAATTATTAAGGGTGACCAATCACACAACTGATGGTGTTTTTCCATTATCAATTGAACCAATATTTGTGAAGAAGTAGATTTTTTCGCACAAAAGCCATGCTGATAGGTGGATATTAAATTATTGGCATTTAGTAAGTAGATAAGTAAACAAATTGTTACAAATCAACGACAATGGTGAACGCTCTTAAAAATCATTATTATTATTATTTCTGTTATATAGTTTTTTTTTAAAAGTCCTCACCATCATTGGTTAAACTCGCTCCACTGGGTTGTCGTATTGGGCAATATGCCATGGAGTCCCTTGGCAATAGAAATATAGGTGAGTCGCTAGCATCACCTGCATTTTTGTGCAGCTTCACTCCTGTGGGGAATCAAACCTCAGCATCGGTGCTCCCAATTGAGCTACAACCTACTGAGCCATCTTATCTCCCATTACATTGTTATTATTTTTAATCATTTATTATTAACATTCGATTGAATATTAAAACAATTCACTGGTAAGTTTAGAAGAAATTTTGGAAGACATAGAATAATTTTGATTAATGGTCTCTGCCAATTACCAGCAACTATCCCAATTTACAGATAGTCACAGTAATATGTCACAGGTCCATCTTTGTGGCACGAACCAAAGTTTCATGAATTGAATGAAGCCATGCAATAAATCAATCAGACTTATCAAATCTGATTATGTTATCATTAATAAAAAGATTGGGAAGATCGCTTTACTTTTGAAAAGAAAGAATAATTTGCCTATCATAGCCAGTTGGTAGTCCTATTGAGGTCACCCTGTAGTGGAAACAGGTTATCCGATCTACCATGAAAATAATAAATTTCGCCAGCATATATGGCAAAGATAAATGGTGGAGTTTAAATCTTGCCAATATAACTTTTACTTAAATCTACTTGAACGCCTGATTTAACAGGTGTCATATCAGAAAAAATGTTGGCACATATAGCCTGGTGATGATCTTTTGCATCTGACACCTGGTTATACCAGGCCCCCTATATCATAACTATTAAGGGTCGCCAATAACTTTCGATAGGAAATAGTATCAAAAATTTTGGTTAAATCTAGGCATGCAACTTCTTTTAATAACTGTTATTGTTTTTCCACTATCAATTAATGCTGACCAATCGAAAAGATTTGCCAATATTTGTGAAGTAGATTTTTTCGTACAAAAGCCATGCTGATAGGTAGATATTAAATTATTGGCATCAAGATAAGTAAGCAAATTGTTGAAAATCAACCTTTCCAGTATTTTGCTATCAACGCATGTTAGGCTAATAGGAAGATCACAGGTGCTTCCTTTTTTATGAATGGGAATTATATAATATGAAATAATTTCAAAATTTTGGGATTAGGGCCAGATTTCATAATATCCTCATAAATTAGAAATAAAGAAAGGCTAGAGAGGCTGCAAGTATTTGTGGAATATTATCGGGACCAGCTGAAATTGACGGCTCGAGTCTATTTAAGGCGTATCTAATAACGTTATTTCAGCCTCACAGGGAGAAGTGCAACAACTTCGATTTACAATGAAAAAATTACTGTGAGTATACTATGAGTATTATCTCCGTAAATTCACTAGAAAAATATTGATCAAATATACTTACAATATCGATATCAGAAGTAATCACATTATCAGAAGTAATCATATTATGTTGCAGAATTATTTTTTTACGTGGATATGAAAATTTTTTTTTAATGTAGTCCAGAAAGAATCTCTAGTGACATTTAAAAGTTCTTTTTCTTGCTCTTCTTTACTTAAAAAGTATTTATGAAGAACAACTACGGAAATTTTTTAAGCATTCTTTATATGCAGAAAACTCACTTGGCAATTTTACTAATTTGTACTTATAACAAAACTTCTTGAACTTTTTTTTAAAAAGATTCAAGCATAAATCTCCTCCATGATTCCTTCTTTCCTGGAATTTTAATAATAAACGCTTGTAATAATAATTATTCTTTTATTTTCATCAATTTTACGGCATTGAACAGTGCTATTATTAAGTGAAATATTTCTCAGAAGTAGCTGTGAGTCCGTCTCCATTACAGTAGTCTAGAAATGTACAAAACTCTACCAGCTGAGTGAGAACATCTTTCTTTAAGGATTAAAATGACATATTACAAGAAAATTTTAATCCTCCCTTATATTTCTTGGAAGCTACCAAAACTGATTTAAGCCTCATTGCAATGCGTTGGAAACTCGCCCTAAGCCCTCCACTGTAGACCAAAAATCGACAAGCAATGCATTAACTGCATTTTATTTTAACAAAGATGAGGATGATTCCAGAAGTGAACAAAATTCGGTAGGTTACAGGATTCCTGCGAATCCCTCTGCCTTTTT